CCCTTTCTTGTTGAACAGGCGCAGCATACGAGGGGATGATGGCATTTGTGGGAACTTTTCCCTCTGCCCTATCTCTCCCAACGGCCGTGCTGGCAAATCATTCGGCCCGAAACGCTTTCTGTCATCACGCAGGATTTACGAATGTCAGACACTTTTTCTATATATAATTTCCCCAATTGACTGACTCGGTACTCCGTACGGAGCGCACGCCTTACCAAGCTTGTCACCGGCCGAAGTACTTAGCCCATGCCTGGTTAACTTTCAAGGAACGAAGAATGCTATCTTGTGCAACGTGGTCGTCAAAAACGGATGTATGTACAAAAATCACACCGATTTTACGATACTTGCTGTCTTCCCTTGAGAGGTACAGAGGTGTATGAAACTCACATCGGGGCCTTATCCCATCCTCCATTTGCACTTCACAACCCATATTGGGCTGCTCAGGAGCAATTAGATTAATCATCCCGTTTCCGATCTTTCTTTTTTCCCCATTCCTCTAAATGTACCAAGCGGTGTAAGCACATCCCATTGCCTTTCACTGCCTCCTCCGTATATGTACACTTGATACATACGTACCGACTGGGGCACAGATAGCAAGCCCCAGACGCACATATCCAGCATAAGGTAACTCTGTAGCACGCTTCCATACTCCGCATTGCTGTCGTGCATTTGTTCGCTGTATCCTCCTCTTTCCCCCCAATACCCTGTGGATTCCCCTTGTTCAGCTGGAAATTGGCGTTTCATCTTCCAAGTCACTCAGTTGTTGGCTGCACCCTGTGAACTCCTTTCACCAGAGCGAAGACCAAGCCTGTCCTTGTACTTACTTCCCTTTGCCCCGGAGAAGATCACAGCCGGAAATCAGAATTTCAAGAAAGTGTACAGACACCTTGCTGAAACGGACGTTGTGCTTTTCCGTTACTTAACGCCAAGTATAAGCAAACTGGCCTGCATGAACGAAAATATGAGCCAGAGCAGAGCAGACGTGGCCAGGTCATGATTTTGTTCTCCAAACTTCTTCCTAGGCAGGTGGCCCTTGTAATTAGTTAATCAATGCGGTCGGGGCTCCATTTCCGTTCGCTTAAGAGCGCCGACTATGAACTGGCTCGGCGCTGGAATCATGGGCCACAAGGTAAGTAACGGCGTTGTCGAAGCCAACCATACTCCGTATTGTTGACATATCCGAGGTTAATGCAGTCCCCTCCCCTGATATAACTAACGGATAACAGTCATAATGTCGAGATGTACTCTATACCCCTGGCTATTGGGTGGAACGGATAGTTACTCGATGGACATGCAGGCCACGCCCACTTTTTTCATATGCATTCCCTCCCCTTCTCTGCTGTGCCCAGGGCGATTTGAATGCAAGCTGTGCGATACGCTGCATCTTTTTCGCTCCACGACCTTCCCGTCGGTACTCCATACTGACCTTATGACTCCATTCAGGGGTAGATCCATAGCTCTTAATTTCACCCTCAACAGCTTTCGGCTTCCTGCTGCTCATGTCTAGCGACGAAGAGAAGGCAAGAGAAAAAGGGGGTGAGAGGATGGCGTACACGTCGAACACGCAAACGAAGTACGGAGCACCCGGCACATGTCAAGCGTAGAGCAGTAAGCCAGTAAGCAAACTCCGACAACTCTGAGAGCTCCGGGGACAGCTCCAAAACTCCCCTACCCATACATGATCTACATACATACACAGATCTTGCGTCTCATGCAGCCCGCAATTCTTCTTTCACCCTTCTCCCCGTCGAGATCTGCTTCCGGCGTATTAACGGTACGGTGATCTGCCTGCATCGCATTTTGGTGCATTTTGAGTCCAGTAGCATGAAGTAAATTAAATGAAAGAGACGGGCCAAAGGGGTCACGGGTGGATACAGCGTCAGTCCTCTTCAACCTTTCATTCGGGCGAATTGACCATACTGCAGGCAAACAGCCAGGCAGGACAGGCAATCATCAACCCCCCTCGCCGCACGGACTGTATATTGGCCGTTTGATATTGCGAAAACATGAAATCCTCGCAGGTCTTAGCTCCTCGTATAGCGAACTGGATGGTAAATTAGTTCATGCTCGGAGATTATGTGATTTTCAGTGATGATGCGGCGTGTGTTGAAGCCCGTTCGAGGTTGAGCAATCATGGCGTGGAATGTGTTGGGGACGGAGAGCCAAGCTGGAGCTACCCCCTGGTCTATACAGGTCCCTTGATATTGCGTTTCATTTCAGAGCTTTCTCCACGCGCGGAAGCAAACGCAACCCGTCCTGCAGCTTTCTTTTTGTGAAAATATCCTGGGGGGGAGGCTAGAACGGTGGACTGGCCTTATCGATTCACAGGGTAAAACGAAATGGGCGTAAGGGGAGAAAGAGAATCGATTGATTACTTCTTTTCTTAACCATGGCAAGTGAGCTAGTCAGTTAGTTAGCTAGCTTAGATACTGTGGCTGGTGGTGTTGATGATGTTGCTCACGAACTAGTCATGGTGCTACGAGTAACTAACTATCGTGCTCCATCCCCCTTTTCGCTCACGGAGACGCCGGTAGGAGTGTCCGGGGTTAACCATTCATGCCTCTCACAGTTTGCTTCCAGTCGAATCGCCAAATTCGATTACCAACTTGCCGAACTGATTGCCCCTTTGCATATCGTCGAACAAGCCGTTGATACCGTCAAGATTGTCAATACCCTGGACAATTTTCCACACCACTGGCTTAATTTTCTTCTCCTTGACGAAGTCCACCATCTCCTTGAACTCCTTCCTCGAGCCCATAGTAGTGCCCCTGAGATCAATGTTTTTCATCACGGCTTGCATTAACCATGTCATCTTTGGGCCAACCGTCATTCCATAAATGGAGATTATTCCACCGTCCTAAAAGGGGAGCGTGAAACGTGAAACGTTAGCAACGGGCCTTAATTGAAGCTTATATAGAGCCACTCGGCTGAATCACGCCGATATGTGCCTATCAGAGGAGGCGCAAAAGAGCCCGACCACAGCGCCTTGGTGCCATGTCCACTCTGCGGTTGACCACACCGTTTAGACTTTCGGGGCGTAATTGTTTATATCATATCAAGCCACGATATATAGAGAGAGAACATAGCGGTAAATAGGAGAGAAGGTGTGTTTTCACCTCACATGCCCGGCAAGGCAGAATGAGGAGGTGTGGGCTCGGAAATACCCATAGCTTAAAGTGGGCATATAACAAGAAAAAACGACGTACCTTAAGCAACTTCACCCCCTTTTCAACGACCTCCCCGCCCGCACCGTCGATAATAGCGTCAAATTTAGTCTTGCCGTTTGGCAACATGCCCATCAGCTTCTTTTCCCATCCCGTCTCTTTGTAGTTCACTCCACCGCGAGCTCCGAGCTCGACAGCCTGCTTAATCTTCTCCTCGCTAGAACTTGTGACATATACATCCGCTCCCCTTGCCGCCGCAAAGCGCAAGGCCATCAGCGCCACACCTCCACCAATACCGGTAACCAAGATGGCAGCTCCGGTGCTGGAGTTAGCTTCACCAGCTTTGGTCACGAGTGCTCTCCAAGCAGTCAACCCGGTCAATGGCAGAGCCGCCGCTTCAGCATCAGACAGATGCTCCGGCGCCTCCTCGACTTCACTCATGTCCAGGGTGATGTATTCCTGTAAAGTTCCCTTGTCATACAGGCTTGTGCCTCCCATGATTCTGAATCCGGTGGCGCTCTCGGGCCCATCGGGGGCATCTTTCCAGCCGGTGGCAGGGTTCAGAATAACCCGCTTGTTCACCCAGGATTGAGCATGGGGCACATCCGGTCCTGTCGAAGCCACAATACCAACTCCATCACTTAGTAGGACCGTTTCGAAACAGGTCCCTGGGTATAAGTGTTTTCGTATAAAGAGGTCCCGATGGTTAAGTGAGGCTGCGGTGAGTTTGATGAGCAGTTCAGTCCCTTTTGGAGTTGGCATTGGGACCGAACGGAGAGAGAGTGGGTAATAGACTTGCCCAGGCTTCCCGAACTTGCCATCCTCGCTTGTAATTGTAATAGCATGCATGATTGTGGACGTTCCTGAAGAAATCTATACCAGGTATGGATGGGCTGTTGTATACTCCAGGAAATTATTATAGGGGTACCGGCTCCTGGGGATCGAAATTGAGCTCTACAAAGAAAAATAAGCGATTGAGATCAACATACGGAGTATATGTATACACATAAGGATAGCCGGTTGGAAAACGCGGCAGATAATGGTATAGGGTTTGGGGGTTTCCTCAACTCTGAGAATTGTCATATCACACTCACGTTGAGATGCGGAAAGCAGGTGATAAGTTATTCAAGCCTAACTCTTAACGAAATTGGTATCGTATCAGTGCCCTCTCTAAAAAATACCATAGAGAAAATAAATAAAATACGGCGTGTCCAAGTTATGCCCGGCTTATAATAGGCGGCAATTCTCCTTCGGGGATGTAGCGATTATGTCGTCATGTCCGCTGGGAAAGCAGTAAATTGACGAATCCGAGCTCCGAGATAGGTATAATTATGGGATAAGCAGACAAGGAGCACTGCAGCTTAGAATTAACCAGTGCAACAAGTGTAGATGCGTAAAATATCTAGTCGACGGCGGTGAAGTGTCGTTTCTTGCAGGCTGTTTAGAAATCGACGTCGCTTGTTAACTATCAGATTTGCCGAGGCACAACCGCGGGGCCGGATAAAGTTCGGCGATAAGACTGATGACTAATACGGCGATTTCAACATCAAGCGGCAACAACAACATCAGCAGCAAGCAATATCAACTTCATCTTCAGTGGATAATATTAGGATAATTTCAGGAGATGTGTTTTGCATATTGTACATATTAGGTGCAGGATATGTGGAGAGGTATCCAAGTTCACTGCTGCCCAAGGGTTAGCGAAAGGTATTTACAACACATAACTTCTATCAAAAATTCGTTTTGAAGAACAGAACCACGGACGACGGACGACAGGGAGCAAACCTTTATTTGCGCAGCCAAACTCATCATGTGCGGGTATTACCAATCAAACAATTAGTCGACCTCCTCATGATCTTGGAACGGCCAACCTTTCTCAACAAGGAACCGGTCATCATCATCCTCTCCCCGAGCCAACCATTCTTCCTTGAACTCTTTGTTCAAGGCAACTACTTTATCGTATGATTCATTCCTCACCCAACCATCTTCACTTAGATGATCTAACTTTGAACGCAAATGTTCTGTTAGAATGTTGAACTGAAACCATTGCTCTTCGATAGCATAGAACTCTTCTTCTTCCTCCTTAGTGAAATTGACAGGACATTCAATAGTTCCTGCACGTTTTCCAAGAATTATATGCCAATTGGAAACCACCCTAAGAATCGCACCTTTCAAGGTGATAAAGTTCCCAGTCCATTGGCGTCCTGCTCTGTCAACGAGGTGCTGTCGCGGCATCAGCAATGGGTACCGAAGAGCTGTGAGGTGAGGTTTGTTGTCTCTTCCGTTGAATACCATGTACAGCCAGAAAAGCATCCTTTGTCTGTGGAGTTCATCCGCGTGCTCCCTTTCTTCTGCACTTAGGGTATCATAGTCTGGCGGTAGAGATGGTTTCTCCAGATCTTTTGGTGGTTCGGAGTCTGGGTTGTCAAACATTGGTGGATTCCCTGCGACCAGTAGAAGTGGCAGGACAGCAGCATATTGCCAGTCAATGAGACAGGTTATTTCGCCTTCTTCAGAAACAAAGATATTGCTTGGGTTAAGGTCTACCCTCGTTAGCTCTGCCAGTAAATACGACGCACAAGAGAACGTACCTGGGTGACGCAGAGTCGGTTTATTCATAGGGTCGGTGGGATCTTGAGGCAATATATATGGAGCTAAGGATAGATACTTTTTGAGCAAGTCGATGTAGACATCTTGCGATATCTCGCGTGGTATGTTTTCCAGAGCATTGTGGGGAAAGTCGTTCATCAGAGGTTTGCCAAATTTTTTAGTCCATTCTAGTTCCCGCTCACCAATACTTTGTAGGTATTGACAATGATCTTGCCCTATATACACAATTAGTACGTCACAGTCATACCATCTGCAGTCGGACTACTAACAAGGGCCTCGATTCAAGTCAAAATTTGCACGTTTTCCACGCCAGAACATGTAATCCGTGACGGGGCCGATACAAAACCTGTCATCTCCTAGCTCTCCCGGCGAATAGAGATCAACCCTAAGATTCTGGGGTAATGTCTCTTTATAGTACAAGCTTCCGTGAGCTGCGAATGGAAACGAAAAAAGCTTCTTCTCGATATCCACGTAACTCGTCACCAACTTCAACATCTCTTTGGGAGTGATATTAAACCATCGATCGGTCAATGGTTTACCAGTAGCCTTTTCCATAACGATATACTCGGTTCCGACCTCATTCTCTTTGTCGGATGACCAAGCATATACCTTGGGAACGGGTATGCTTTTCCCCCGCAAAAAGTCCAAAGTAGCAACCTCGCTTTCGGTAGTCAGTTTTTGTGGTACTGCTAGCAAATACGGTATCTTCACAATGACCTCGAAGCCATCATTCATAGTAAGAAGAAACACTCTGTTGAAACCACCTTCTGCGAGCTTTTTGATACTGGCGGTTGAGTCTCGGTCGACAGCTTTAGCAGCAATCCTTTTTAACGCCTCGACATTGAACTCGACATATCTCCCGGCAAGGCGAAGCTTCTCGTTATAAAGGTAACGGCCGGATGTATACGTGAACAGGTCGCGTTCGGATATCATTGTCGAGGTGTGTCGTCTTATCGCGAACACGGGGGTAGTCCTAGACTGACGCGGGAGTTTTGGATTCAGGGCGTGTTTCCTGGTCAGTGTAGAGGGTAAAAGATAGTTGTAATGAAAATTGTGCGCGCGCACTGCTCTCACTGAGGGGGTCATAGTGGCTCTTAAGTATACCGCCCCGTAGTAAGTCAGCACCTACGAAATGTTGAGTGAGATAAGGGTGCTTGGAGGTTGCCGATTGAACTCGGAGTTAGAGTTTAACTTACTAACTTAGTTAGGCTTGGCTTTGTTATGTAATGCGGCTCGTTCATCGACTAACTCGTTAACAACTCAACACCTCTCTTGTAGATTGTCATTCGACCACAGAGGAAGACACGGTGTAGTATGAAGAGTTTATAGATTGGCCCTGAATCTTACTAGACATTGACGTGGAAATCTCTCGCAATCGGTTACCGACGGGTAACTAATAATAGAAAGCGCATTATTGATGGGATAAAATAAACCTGTGCAACTTCCTATTCAAGAGCTTTCAGCTCAGACAATGAAATTTTACTCGTAGGTAGATCGCTAACATTTACCATGACCACTTTACATACACTAAATATAGGTAGTTGGGGCGGGCGCTTAAAGTGACCCACCAATAGGAGATGGGTGCTTTGCGTTATTGGTAGGTGTCAATGTGACAGTTAGCGCCGGGGGGCCAAGTACAACAATTACGACAATTCCTGAGATATCTAATTGGCCTCCTGCAGCAGGCATGCGAAACTTGGATGCCTGTCCCTTGCCAGAAGAAATGAAGCATAACATCCAAAACAATTCACTCGTGATTGATGGTCATGCCTCACTGGCTATTTTTGTATATACGCGAAGCCGGAGTGAAGAGTCATGGGATGGGAACCTGTGTTGAATGCAATGCCTGGGAGTAGGGCATTTATAGGATATAAAAGCGCCCATTACCATTTCTGCTCTTCTCTCTGATCTGTTTATCTTCTCTAACAACAGATTCTCTCTATCCCTAACATATACATTGCGTTTCCGAGAAGACTTCATACAGTTGGTAAGCTTCCCTACAAACCTATATAGCAAATACTGATGGCTGCATGATATACAGTACGCCAACGGGGAAAGCTCTCACTTTGCAATGGGGAATTTCACTAAACAGGTCGTTGCCGTCATCGGAGTCATCATTGGAAGACCAGCAGACCTCCGGAAGTTTTTTAAACCTACCGTCGCCAGAGGGAAGACCGTTTGGCCAAAAACTCCCGCGGATTTACTTCGGTATGGGGTGCGCTGGGATTATGATGGAGTGGTTGACCATCTCGGCCAACAATGTCATAAGTACCAACTTCAACCCAATGCGGGTAAAATACCTTCTACTATCAAGGAATGGCGTGAAAAGAATGGTGGAACCCACGCAGTAATCACCACAATGTATATTGCTGTTGATACCGAACCCAACGCCGAAATTTTTGAAGAAGCGGCAACCAACGCGATCAATGCTATTGGAACTCATTGATAGTAAGTAGGAGCAGCAGAACCTTAATACTATATCAAAATTAATTAGTTCGCCTAGGTACATCTCCTTCCCCAAGACGTGTCTCTCTTTTGTGCCAGTTGCGTCTTGAATGTTAGTGTCTACGGTAGTAAGCAATTGTTCTGTGTTACCAATCAAGATGTATATATCTCGACAGCAGACTTTAACCACTGCAAAACTACCAAATAATTACTCATTTGTAGAACTGAAGATTTGCTACCCTAAATGGGCACATACAATTGTGTATGAGGAAGTCAGTGGAAGGGATAAATAACGCTGCGGAATGAGTATTTTAGTTAGATTATATTTGTTGATTCTGCGAAGCATGTTTTACCGGAACATGAACCACAGGACCATGGGACAAAAAGGCCTTCTGCCCCATGTTCCCAAAGGGAGCATGAGCCATTTGCGAGTTCTACTAACACAAGAGGAGGACTTGTTAATCCTGACATAAAACACAACTAGCTAGTTAACAAAGTGTCAAAAGTCTGCCGCTACACCAAAAGGAGTGAGCCCACACTAATGTTAGGCAGAGCTGAAGTTTTGACACAAAGTTACTTAATAGTTAACTAACTACTAGAGCGAAGCACAGCGCAAAGATGTTGAAGTCACCTTCTGGAAGCTTTGTGGTGCCGGCCTCGAGTCACGCCCAACAGCTCTGGCAGCGACTCTTTTCAAGGCATCGACATTAAATCTGACATATCTCTCGGCAAGCCGAAGATGCTCAATGCTGTTGTTTTTACGGATTCCAATGTTGAGTTTCCAGTTGAATGCATCTACCAGGGCATAAAGAAGGCGTAACCAACTAACTACCAGACCGGATCTTCATCCTCGGGGTATGGGATTTTCGACGCATCTGGCAAGCTACAAGCCTCGCGGTGGAAGAAGTACGTGCATTCGTAGCCCATCATGTTGAAGACACCTGTGTAACCAGTCAACTACCGCGGGCCCCAGATGGGGATGCAGTGAAGTTTCCGCATCCCAGGCTGCCGTTCATCAACGATGTCAGGCCGTTGTTGGATCTCTTCGACCGATAGAAACGGGCTTGTGGATGAGTTTCACCATGGAAAGACGGCCATACGAGGAAGAAGAGAGTCAACTCCAGTTAAATAAGCTCGAAATCTGGACTTCGGCCGCAAGTCAACTTTGTGGCCAACCCTAACTTAGCCTAACCTAACCAACCAGTGTGGACTCTCTGCTGGCTGAATTTGACGATACAAACTCCTCGCTTCCAGGACTGCTTCAATCATTAGCAACCGGCTGGCTGTTGACTAAGATGCAAGGAGCCTGTAACTTGTCGCCCTGACATAGATGTAACTAACTAACCAGTGCGCCAGCTGGCGAGTTACCCAGGGATGGAGCATACGAAGGGAGGAAGAATACCCGGGACTCTGCAGCAACAAACAGCCTGATAGACCGCTTTGATTGCCACTGGCTTTATACGGGAAACATGTAGCGGTGTCTCTAAGAGGAGCTTCCGCCTAGGAAGAGCCGGAGGTGTATGACTGCGGGTGATCGCTTACGGGATCGCGCATGGTGTCTTTGACCGGCTTTCTTTCATGACGGCAGCTGCTGGTATCCAGGGGCCGGCTTCAGAATAGTTGGCCGTGCCAGGTCATCATGTTCCAAGTGATTCACTGGTTGAGTGAAGATCTCAAGGATTCATTCAGCCAGCATATTCACTTCTGAGAAGTGGTTGACGGGCATGGCTATAAAATCTCAACCTGAGCCCCAGCCCAAGTTGACTACCAGATAGTTACCCTGCACAATCCAGAGACTCTTGTTAGCAGAGGCTATGAGCCCGCCGTGCTTTATTCCCTAAGATCTGAAGACCCAGAAGATACTAGAGAAATAATGCTCCATCTAGGAATCTCTCTTCCAGCGTGCAACGGCCGAAAAAGTTTGACACCGAGATCTTTTGCTGAGATCCGGAGCTTGTGTCCGGAAATGCCCCGTTCGCGAATTGTGGTAAGTATTTGTGCTAGATATTATCCCCCTTTTTGGTGTTGAATATAGGCTAATTCTGTTAGATTGTATATGACTGGTGACAAGCAATCTGCCCCCACCCCCCTACTCCATTCGAACAATTTAGGGGTGCTGAAGAAGCCTTTCGACTTCAGGAGGTGTCAGAAGCACTGCAACCATTCTTCCACTGGTCCTGGAAAAAGCTAGGCGCAGAACTGCGACAAACATCCCAGTCCTGCTCTCCATTCCTACTACGAGGACTAAAGCAAGTCATCCACAAGTATACCCAGAAGCTTCAAACACCAACAAAGAGGCAGACAAAGTACCTCCCAGCCAGCCGGCTATTACAACTTTCTTTCGCGCTGAACTCACCGACAAGACCGTTAAGGTGAAGCCCCGCGAACCCGATATCTATGACGGGACTACGGATGTGCATTTTTGGATTATGGGCATTACAGACCAACTACCCGAACGTCGCATCGAAGGGGACGCATCGCAGGTTACCTATGCCATTATTACACCTGACCAACAAAATGACTGCAAGAACATATGCACCGGATAGTGTACTTCTTTTGCCACTTATACTGCGTCCTGTCTCGAGAAAAGTGCATATAAAGAGGAAGAGTTGCATCAAATATCAACGACACATGCGGCCTGAGCAAAACAGCCCAGGTCCTCAGCCTAGGACCAGCCTTAACAGACCATTACTGGACCGACATAAGTGTTTCTCCCATCAACTACAATACCTGACTTAGGAGGAAGTACGGATGTGTCCCCTCACGGCTATACGGCGCTGTCTCTGGACAATACTATAAACGGAAGCCGATGTCCTCAGAGCTAGCTGCCTTGAGCTGTTGTACCCCGTAAACAAGCCTGTCTGCGAGAGACTTAACAAGGGAGGGAAGATATTTTGAGGCGGAAACGAAATGCAACGAATCACTAGTTAGTTACTTCAAGACAGGGTCTGAGAAGACTAACTAACTTGTTAGTATAGTTATGCTCACCTTCATCACACTCCAATGAGCTGCAAACGGCAAAAACAACCAATATCATTACCAACAACATTGCTACTCCTACGAGCAATGAGCGAACGGGCGGCCCTAGCAGTCTGTTGTTTGGTCTGTTGTTTGTAGAGTTCATCAATCTCCTCGGCAGTCATCTCGGTTAGGTCTCATTTAGTACTTTCTGCTTAATCGATTCAACAACACTATGCCAGGGCCGTTGTTCAATAGGTGATACTTTCGAGCCGATCATGACCTGCTCTAGTCGACTACATAGTGTCAGAGCCTTATTGTGGGAGACTTGAAGTGACCGGGATGATCGCATATACATATGAAGCCCCTAACAGTCTGATCGTTCTACTCAGACCGGCTAAGTTCGCGGCACTCCCTTTTTACCGCACGTTTTTACCGTCAATTTTTATCGAGATCGCCGCGAAAAACGAAGCAATCTACTATTAAATTCAAGTCCAAAGAAATAATTACGGATTCGGATGAGGAGATTGATAAGGGTGAGGAGGAAGACTCGTCGTCGACTAAAGTGCCTGGGTCAAGGCGCCTGGGCGTGCATCTCAAGAGGCTGCTGTTCAGTCCCAAGTCAAAAACCACAGACCCCATTCTCATCTTGCAGTACTTGCAAAGTCCTGGAATCCGTCGGTGACCAAGAGAGTATACAAAAATCAAACGGATATGCGGATTCAGTTACCGGTTGTCTGCATACAACTCGGCAAACATTCAATTCAACCAAAGCAGTGACTAGGGGACTAGGTGAATGATTTCTTTGACCAGAATTCAATACTAATCACCAATCCTCCCCATCGTCACTAGTCGGTGTGCCTGCTCTCGAACCTGTGCAACCTGAGTCGCCTGTTGGCAGCGACATTCCATTCTGAGCTTCTGAGCCCCATCTTCAAGTTGTGGCGTGTGCTGCCGTGCCCGAGATGGCTCTCAGGGCGAAGAAAGCTATATGGTGAGCTGGTCCCACGTTGCCGCACCATATGTTTAGGGATTCAATATTGAGAGAATTGCGTCTATCCCTACTCCAGTACCTTTATGCGCGGGGATTTAAACTATTCTCAACGCATATCGCCAGGGACAATTAAAGTTAGACTATGATCAAGTTACTCTGTGGTTTGCAGGTAGGCCTGTTTATAGGCCTGTCCCGAGACAACATTTTGACCTCGCTACAATTGGAATGGAAAAGGGGCACAGCTTTTATGAGCAATATGACCTAGCCCAGGCACCCTATGGGCTGAACCGGTAGCTAGCCCATATTTCTATTTACTAATCATGACATCTAAGCAAATAGCTAACCTTCCCTAGTGATAGGCAGGATGAAGTTATCCTTCATAAATACCCTTACTAGACTATCATTCTACACAATGGAGTCTTGGGCTCACCATTGCTACGAAGAACATGCCCGGCAGTGACCATGGCAACTCTCGACGTGTCCCGTGTCAGTTGATTCCTGCCCTTCCAGGCAATCCCACCAATACTGTGGTGGAAATGATTGATTTGACCACAAACTCCACTGAAGTTGCTCATTCCGATGGAGATACTACCACCTACACTCCACACTTTCCTCTGCGTTTTTATGTATGCACTGGTGTATCGAACCTTATATGGTAACAGATAAGTGCTCGTGTATACTACGCAGAGTATCTGTATACCATATGACGCCTTATGGAACGAGTTCAAACTCGATCAAACGTCGGCGTGGGACGAGGCTACTGCCCTACGCTTTTCCTTCGTCAGCGTTGATTCCCTGCCATTGACGTCCTACATCCATAGGACGTGAGTTCGGGAGTTCAGAGATATGCATATTCCACCATGACTAGTTCCGCACCTTCCCAAATGCCCTTGCCTTGCGTGCGCTGCCTAGGAAATTTGTACGCAGCCACTAACCCTGAGCCTGATCGCTTCCTCGACCTGGACTGTCAGTATAGAGCTGGTGTGGCTTGCAATCGCTGTGAACAACTAAACCGGCCTTGTGATGATGTAGTTCGACCTTCCTATCCT